ATTATTGGTTACCAATATTTCTAACTACTCGCTGGGAAACCAGAAACAACATTAATGCATGAGTAAGAAATATTTTTGATTCTCAGTGCAGGGAGAAGAAGGAGTAGGTCGTGATGGCGATGCCGGAGCTGGAAGTGCTGTCCCCTGCTGCAGTCCCTGATTTGGAGTGGTATGAGAAGTCAGAAGAAAGGAATGCCACTCAGATAGATCTACTTGAGACGCCCTCTGCCCAGGAATCTTCCTACCCTTCTGAGCTCTTCTGCTCAAGCGACTGTGTGGTACCAGTGGTGTTTCCTGGGCCTGTAAGCCAGGAAGGCTGCTGTCGGTTTACTTGTGAACTTTTAAAGCATGTCCTATACCAACGCCAGCAACTCCCTCTGCCCTATGCGCAGCTTAAGCAATTCTACCCCAAACCTTCTCCCCAGGCAGAGAATGCAGCCAGGAAGACACCTCGAGTCACCACTGAGGCAAGCAGCAGGAAAGGCCAGCACACACTGGCAGAACTGGACAGTGTCCTCAGCCATTTAGAGGACCTCTTTGCCCGGACACTGGTACCACGAGTGCTGATCCTCCTCGGGGGCAATGCCCTAAACCCCAAGGAGTTCTATGAGCTTGACCTGTCCGGGCTGGTCCCCTGCAGCACGGACCAGACCCTGAGCACAGCAGCCTGTTTGCGCAATCTGTTCCGAGCCATTTTCATGGCCGATGCCTTTAGTGAGCTTCAGGCTCCTCCGCTCATGGGCACCATTGTCATGGCACAGGGGCACCGTGACTGCGGAGAAGATTGGTTTCGACCCAAGCTCAACTACCGAGTGCCCAGCCGGGGTCACAAACTCACTGTGACCCTGTCCTGTGGCAGGTCTTCTTTCCCAGCCATGGATTCAGAGGATTACATTTGGTTCCAGGCACCAGTGACACTTAAGGGCTTCCACGATTGAACCGATGAGGGATTTTTCTTGACTGTAAAAACACAGTAGCCTTGTCACGCACCTCTTGCTTGGAGCTGGGATTGCTTCCTGGTAGAAAAGAAGGCTCTGTCCTCCCAGCTATTTGCCTCCCCTCTGACTTCCTGGTGGGCTGATGGTATGTGGCGGTGACTGTAATAATCATTATTGAGGAACAATTCCGAATTAAAGGTTGATTTTTCCCAGAGGATGCTGGGTCAGGTGTTTCTATTTAGGATTGGAAAGCAAAGATAGATTCTCAGACAGACTTTTCTATGGAGGTATCTCTTTTCTGCTTTTTTCAAGTTTCTATCAGAGTAATAAAGTGGGTGTGACTCATGAATTTAAATATAATGTGAATAGAATCATTAAATTTTCCTGAAACTTTTGACTTAGAAAAAAGAAATATTTTCAAACCCTAAAAATAACCCCTTCCAACTTTATCTCATTCCTACCATAAATGTGGGCTGAGGGCTGGTAGTGTAGCTCAATGGTAGAGCACTTGTCTGGTGTGTGAAAGGACCTGGCTCCATCCTAAATGCTGTAGGAAAAACAAGCAAAAAAACAAGTAAGCAAACAAATGGTCTAAAGAACCCCCAAAGCAGGAGAGGAAAATAAACACTCATGCTATTTTTTTTCCAATGTTAAAATTCCACATGCTGCTATAAGAACAAAGAAGGATGAATTGATTTGTAAAGAATAACTGAGTCAATGTTATCGAATTTTATTCCTGCAACTTTGTGAGATAGTAAGGACAAATATTATTGTCCCATTTTACAAAAGAGAAAAGTGAAGGGCAGAAAGACTACAAGACTATCTTAATAGGGAACTAGAACCTTTGCTTTGAGAATGCAAATCCAAAGGTCTTGATTCTCTACCCCACAGCCTTCAAAGTTTATTGCTGAGTCACTATTTCAAAAGTAAGATGAGCATTTGGAGATGACTAAGCAGTAGATCATTTAAATTAGCCTTTTTTTTTCATAATAAAGGTGACAAGTGTCAAGCCATCAATAGACATTCACTCACGTGTTTGCCTTTGGGACAAAGTCTTATAATTATGGGACAGCTCATAACTATAGTGTGAGTTGTTTTCAATATGGAGACAACTGGTCTAAAGGGAGACCCAACTGTGACCTCATTTGTACCCATGTCTAGTTAATGTCTGAGAATTTTTTATTATTATTAGATAAACTCGAATCAAAACAGCTGCTTTGATATTTAGAATCAATATTTTCCCTGCTTTTCCAGAAGACAGGATGAATATTTAAGTGACTAAAGTATCCACAACAATAGATTCATGCATAATGATTCCTGCTGTAGAGCTCTGTGACCAAGATTTTGACCCCTCATATTTGAAAGCATGCTAAATACTCTTACAGCTCAGTCACCGAACACAGAAGAACTCCAAACCAATCTTTTGCATAATTCAATTCTACACTGGTGACAAAAGCATAATTGGTAGATGTGGTTAGCCCAGAACTAGAGCAGTTTCTTTTGACATTGGTAGTAGTACAGCTTGTGCTCAGCTCACTGAACTAATTCTAGCACGTCAAAACGGGAAGGCTGGGCTGGGGATGTGGCTCAAGTGGTAGCGCGCTCACCTGGCATTCGTGCGGCCCGGGTTCGATCCTCAGCACAACATACAAACAAAGATGTTGTGTCCGCCGAAAACTGAAAAATAAATACTAAAAAAATTCTCTCTCTCTCTCTCCCTCCCTCCCTCCCTCTTTAAAAAAATGTTAAAAAAAGGAAAGGCTTCTAATTAGAGTAAACTAACAGCATGAGAAAAGGAAGCTTTGTGGCACCTGTGACATCATCAGACATCATTTAAATGCTTTGGTAATAAAATAAGCAACTTCAACTAGGTGGTCATCAGTTAGTTCCAGCCCTAAAAATTGTTGAGATTCCATAAAATGTAAACTGAATAATGCTGTCTAGATATTGAGGAAAAGAAATAGTAGTGACTCAGAGTGAAAAGCTCCCTAAATTAACATTCCTTCATTCATTGTCCAATCCATTGAATATTTATAAATTACCTAATCTAGAAACCAGTAAGTATTTAAAATAGCTTCATCCCAACTCTACTTGTCTTGAAATATTGCATCAATGCATGATTTTCTCCAGGCAGTTTGAGCTAATATTGCTTTCATACTCTGCCCCCATTTATTCTTCCTCCCTCTGTATTTAATCTAAGGGTTCATATTAAAATGCTGTCTTGCCAAGGAATAAGTCCAGAACTTGAGAGATTCACATTAAGGAAAATAATATGAAATTCCAAATAAAAATATTAGGGCCCGGCATAAAGCCAGGAAAGAAAATTGAAGTTTCATTACATTTATGGTAAATTACCTGTCTCCAACATCTGAAAGAGCTTAAATACATACAGTCCATTAGCTGTACAAAACCAATGTTACTATGAGATAAACACACACACACACACACACACACACACACACACACACACACAGAATCCAGAACATAGAGCAAGAGATTATTTGTTCCACTGAGATTAGCCCCTTGTCTGCTTCCCTTTTCTCTCCTTTTTGCCTTCTCACCTGCTTGAATTCGGAACCCCCCAAAGACCACCAGAGGCCAAGATCAATGTGAGCAGCAAAGAGGTGTTTATTGTGAGCTAGCTCAGTCCTCCGAGCACACACACACAGCAACTGGTGACACTGAGAAGCCCTGAGCCCAGGGTTTGCAGCAGTTTTAGACACTCTTTGGGGAAGGCAGGGACCCCACATACATCCTAGCATCTCTTAGAAAATCATCACACATGGCGGGAAAATCATAAAACAACTCTAAAACATGATTAGCACATTCACTGGCGGGTACAAGTTGGGTAGGGGTGATTGGTTAGTACCAGAGGGGGATTTATTTGAACTGATTGGTTTAAGTCAAGAGAGGAGGACTTGCTGAACTACATGGTTTCCCAACATGTTATCAACCACTATAAACTACTGGGAGGGTCATCTGGCATCCCTGGTATTTTCCCTGTCTCATGCTGATCAGTGGTTGCTAGGGGGTTGCTATGGGTCCTCACTTAGCCTGACTGAATCAGGGACACCTGACACAGCACATCTCTCCTGTTATTTGTAGATGAACCACTCAGCAGGGTGGGTATGTGCCTAGGAGTGCTCTGCGGGTCTTTCCAAGGACAAGGGTCACACCCCCTTCCTAGAACAGGCTTTGTTCTGAGGTAGAGGCTGGTTTTTCACACCTTTTTTTGTTTGTTGGTTTTGGGGATTGAAACTAGGGGCGCTTGACCATTGAGCTATACCCACAGCCCTTTTACATTTCATTTTGAGATAGGGCCTCCCTAAGTGGCCCAGGCTGGCCTTGAATTTGCAGTCCTCCCGCCTCAGCTCCTAAATTGCTGGGATTACAGGCACGCACCACCATGCCCAGCTCCTTTCAGCCTTTTCTATTCCTCATCTACTTTGCCCAGAGGGACCTTGATGTAGTGGGAGTTGGAAGGAAAGAGAGGAACCTGGAGACTGGCAAATGAGAAATGAAAGACGGAGATCAGGTCGAGATACACAGGAGAGTTTGTCAGAGGTGACAAACAAAGGCCATCTCTCATAGACAGAGAGAGGCAACACAGGCTTGAGGTTGGAGACTTATGAGGGAGGCTCAGGAATTAAAGCCAGGTGGGTCCTCATGCAGGTAGTGAAAGGTGGGGTTGGTATGAGGGAGTAATGAGCCTTTCTCAGAAAAGCCCTTGGAAGGGAAAGCAAAATTTTTCTTAAAATGGTGGCTGTCACTTAAGATGGTCATCCAGATGCTAAGCAAAGACTTTATAGTAGTGGTAGAATTTGGGGGCTTCTTTTCCAGTTTTAATGGTATTAAAAATAGGTAAAACATTAGGAAACTATAGTAATGTGCAAATACTAGGCACCCAATAAATCAATGAAAAACTAATTCAATTTATGTAAACCCAGAATCAAAATGCTTAAAGATACATTCAGACTCCAGAAACAGTTGAAACAAACAGTATGACATTTAATAAGAATTAAATGGGACAACTTGGATTTTTTTTCCAAAAAAATTAAATAATTACGTACAACAAAGGCAGTAGTTATGAAAAATAATGAATTTAGCTGGGTGTGGTGGTGCACACCTGTAATCTCATCAACAAATGCTATATAGAAAAAAATTTACAAAAGTGACATGCTGGTGGAGGCTGGGGATGTGGCTCAAGCGGTAGCACGCTCGTCTGGCATGCGTGCGGCCTGGGTTCGATCCTCAGCACCATATACAAAGATGTTGTTTCCACTCAAAATTAAAAAATAAATATTACTTGCAGAAATGTGGGGCTTTAAAAAAAAAGGTGAAATGCTGTAATGGAAGAATGTATTTACACACATAGGTAGCTATAAAAGTCAAGAAAAATACAATAGTTTCTGAAATAAAGGGGGATAAGATTGTAGGATAAATAAGAACATATAAATGCTATAAACTGAAAATCCATGTTCCTCCCCCCATCCCCAGCCTACCCCACCCCATGAATTTATACACTGAAATCTAATCCACAGTGTGATGTCATTTTGGGGTGGGGCTTTGACAGGTGATTAGGTCCTAAAGGTGGATCCAGCCCCCACAAATGGAATTTGTGCATTTTTAAAAGAGATTCTAGCTGGGTGTGGTGGTGCACACCTATAATCCCAGAGATTTGGGAGGCTGAGTGAGGAAGATCATAAATTCAAGGCCAGCCTCAGCAATTTATCAAGGCCCTAAGCAACTTAGTGAGCCCCTGTCTCAAAATAAAAATAAAAAGGGCAGGGGATGTAACTCAGTGGTAGAGCACTTGTCAAGCATGTTTGAAGACCTGGGATCATCCCCAAGAACCACACCAAAAAAAGTAGATAAATAAAGAGATGCTGGAGAGCTCCTTTACCCCTTCTGCCATGTAGGGGACACATTAACATTCCTTCATTCATTGTAGCTATGAAAGTCGAGAAAGATGGACAGCCTTGTATGAACCAGGAAGTGTGTCCTCGCCAGGCACACAATCTAATGGTGGCTTGATCTTGGACACATCAGATTCCAGAACTTTGAGAAATTATATGTGTTGTTTATAAGCCACCAGCCTGAATGGCTTAATATAATGAGTCTGGCGTTATTATAACTTATTTAAGCAATA